TCCAGCCTCAGACACGTGCTTCACTCATGTCACCCCCTGCGCTTGTTTGTTTCATTTAAGGTAGCATTTTTAATTGATGAGGATGATGATTTTCTTGGGGTTTTCTTGGCAAAATTTCTATTATTAATTGGTGTGTTGATGCTGATTTGTTGCTGTTTTCTTGGGGTTTTCTTGGCAAAATTTCTTCAGAGAGGGTTTGCCATAGCCTTCCTCTGAGGCTGAGAGAATGTGACTTGGCCAAAGTGGGTTTTTAAATATTGTATATGTTCCCGTTTTGTTTTTTTACTTCAAAATATGATGTGTACAGTGTATGTAGGAATTATTTATTTATTTATTTACTTACTTCGGCCCTCCAATAGTCTGAGGGACACCGACCCGGCCTCCGGCTCAAAAAGTTTGCCTACCCCTGTCTTAGATGTTGTAGAATACATCTCTTGTTCTTGCTTTTTATTCTCATCTTCTATTTCTCTGCATTGATTATTATAGTAGTTCTTGTCCCTGCGTACAAGTTGCTGAACTTGCATGCAGAGTCTAATCTTATTTCTGGCTGCATCTGCACTTCAGAAGTAATCCAGTTTGACACCGCATTAACTGTCATGGCTCAATGCTATGAAATTCTGGAAATTGTAGTTTGTTGTGGCATCAGAGTTCTCTCACAGAGAAGGCTGAATGTCTCATGAAACTACAATTCCCAGAATTCCATAGCACTAAGCCATGGCTGTTAAAGTGGTATCAAATTGGACTATTTCTAGATTGTGGATGCAGCCTGTCAGATTTTACTTTTGTTTCTCATATGACCTTAACTGTTTGAAGAGTTTCATCTGTTATCCATTATTGGAGCTTCGCTTTCTTTTCAGCTGCACGTATTATCTTTTTGCATCTCTCTCCTACAATGTCCCTGCTTCAGAGTTCTGGCTCCTGATAATTAGGCCTATGAATTCAAATTTATTTCTTAGATTGTCTTTAAATTCTAATCTACAGGGATGTTTTTCAGGTTATATTTTGCACAATGGTTGGTTCAGTGTTATTTAGCTTTACTCTAATTTTTTGTTATTAGCAGTTTGTCTATTTCACACTCTGCTCCTCATTTTGTTTTTGCAGAGAGAATGCATCTCCATCTTCTGATTCTAATTATGTAGTCTTATTTGATTTCTATATTGGCCATGGGCAATGTTCATATATACAGTTGTCTCTTTGGTTGCTTTGAAGAATGTGTTTGTGATAAACTATTGGCCTTGCAAAATTCAGTGAGTTGTTCTCCATTTCTTGATCCTAGGCCGAATTTCCTTAGATTTTTCTCTGTTTCTTAGTTTTGCATTCCAATCAGGTGTAATTAACAATAAGTCCTGTTTTAATGTGTGATCAATTTCCTCTTGGACTCCAGCATAAAATCTTTCAGTTTCTTCTTCTTCTGTCTCTGTAGTTGGAGCATAAGCTTGGGTTATGGTTATATTGGTAGGTTTTCCTGAAATCTTTCTTATATGATTCATCAGACTTTGCATTCTGTCTTTTGACTACTATTGCTATGTTTCTCCTTAATGCCACCCCATTTCTTCCCCAGATTTTCATTTTCTAAGTAAAACACTGTGTAATTATATGCATCAGAATGCCGATTCCTGTCCATTTTATCTCTTTTTACACATTCCATTTCTTGTTATATTATGTCTAAATTCCCCTGATTCATGCTTCTCACATTTTGTGTTCCTATAGTATGTGTTGTGCAGCTTCAGACTTTCCCGTTGTGCATGACAATGGCTGAACGTCCTTTCAGCTTCAGTCCAGTTGCATCATTAGCCACAGTGCTACTCGTAGTTGCCCTCTGCTGTATCATAGTAGTTTGTTGGGTACAATCTGACCTGGAGTCTCATCTTCTGGCACTATCTTGTTTCATTTTGGATTGCCTCCTCATAAGGTTTTCATGGTAAAATATCTTCAAGAGGAGGTTTACCATGCCTCCTTCTGTGCAGTACTAATAAGTGTTAGCTGTGGTACTAATGCTGTCATCTCCCAGAGATTCTCCACCAGTGTCTCACACACACACACACACACACACACACACACAGACACCCTACTGCTGCTGTCCAGTAGCTGTTCGACACATTTTGTCTGGCTTCTGGCAACTACTACCAGACACTACCAGCGGCATTGATACCATCAGCATAGCCTCTTGCCTCACATGGGCACAAAGTCCCACCACTGTGGAAAGGTAGTGCCATTGACCTAGTAGGGATTCATAATTCTAATCCTGCTCTTGGAACAATTCCATGTTTAAGCATGTATTTATTTTATTATTTTTCAGCAGCTATCACCACACAATTCTTAAAAAACAAAAATGAGATTCTGAGTATTCTGAGTGATGTAACCCACAATATCTTTATTTAGAACATTTTAAGATTCATGAAGGATAGGATTTGTCTTCCCATGCATGCATTCTAAAACATGCCTCTTCATGCCTGTCTATTCTGACTTATCTGGCTGGTCTAGTCTGATTACGTAGGAAACAGAGTAAGACTTCTTTTTAGCTCTGTGAGTTGCATTTTAGCATTGATTGCCTGGTGCTTTTGATGTCTTTCCTATGAGGCTGACCAACTATTTTGGACCAGTTGCCATTGTAATTCTTGCCTTCCTTTCTTGAAAGAGAGCACTTCAGTCTATATTATTGGTCACTGCTTTAGACTTTAGACTCAACTTGGATTGAGCCCTTTACCTCCAGGTGATCTTGGTATCTCCCATATTAGGACACTGTCTAACCATCAGAAATCAGAATGGAAGTTCACTCTGAGTGGTAACATTTCTCAGAACTATGTCCATTTTGGATTTGCTAGTTTATTAGGAATAAAAGTAGAAGTGTATACAGATATAAGGATTCATATAACTCTTGTTCCATATACTCAGCAAACGTTGCTTCTGAGCTGTGCTTGGCATATGTTCAAGGACAGATATAGTTATTGATACAGAAAATCAGTTTTCTGTAGTATAACAACAAAATGGAAAACTGACACATAACTCTGATTCTGAGGATGAATTTACAGAGTGTGCTTTCTTTGAATATTGGGCCTAGATGTCATACTAATATAATTGGATTGATGTAGGGAAACATGGTTTTGATTTCTCTCCAGATGTAAAGCTGGCCAGATGGGTTTGCACATTGTTTCCAGTTTTGCCTCTCTCAACACTTGGTTGCCCTGAACTCTTATGAGGGATTATGGGGTATAAACTGAATTGATGATGATGATGATGATGATGATGATGAAAAAAAGAAGTAGCCATTGGAATCAATGTGTGAAAAATGTGTAAAAGGTATTTCAGGCATTAAAAAAATTCATTATTGCAGTTTGCATTGAGTTTGAAGGGACAGGGCATTCCTCAGAACAAAAAAACAAAAGTGTGAAGAAAGAACACATAGCTGTGAAATGTGAGAATGCTAATATTGAATTGGGAAAGAAGGGAAAGACACACCGCAGCCTCAGCTTTGGGTTATCAAATAGAAAGATGGGGGAAAAGATTCCATTGGAGCATCTTGTTCTAGAAGATAAGTTTCTTTTGTCTACAGTTCTCTTATTGTTTTAATGGTTTTCATTTATCCAAATATTGAGCTTTCTGTCAAAGAGTTTTACCTTGAAATCTGTTTCTTTTGCACTCTGTGCATTTACCCTTTGCTTGGCTGCTCTCTGTTTCAGAGTATGAAGACGACAAGATATCATTGCCATTTGTTGTGACAGACTTGCGAGGAAGGAATTTGAAGCTGCTGAAGGAGAAGGCTGTTTTTCAGGTGAGTTTTTAAAAACCTTCTATCACTGAAAGAAAACTTTTTGCTTTCTAAGGAAGGGAATGGTACTAAAGGAGTACTCTTAACTAGAGAACCAACATCATCAGTAAAATTAGACTTCCTACCAGCCTTGTGGTTAGCCTGCTTGAACCATAATAGTTAGCAAAGATGATTTGAATTCATCAAGAAACTATTATTTATATAACTGATTTAAAACAAACTTTTCATATGCACAGAAATGTTTCTTGTCTGCATTCTGGTTTTCTGTTCAATTGTATCCAGCTTCTAATTTATGTCTTCCTTTGTTTCTGTGATATTTACTACATGAGTATATATTCTCTATTTGGTGTGCCAAGCATAGTTGAAAGGGATGAATATATCTCACATGGCCAAGGAAGGCTGGAATCATGTGAACAGGATTTTTTGCCTTAGTACTGATGACTTGGCTGTTGCTTCCACTCAATTCTCTTCCTTTGCCATCCCAAACCCGTATCCATTCATCAGGCAGGCAGACCCAAAATCCAAGTCCTTTGCATTTGACAAAGCTTTTCCACCTTCTGTCTCACAACTCCAGTTACCTTATTATAGTAGCCTAATTTTAATTCAGGAAATAGACTAATCTATGTGCTCTCAGACACTCATGTCTAGTCATTAGCAGTCCCAGAAACCGTCTCAGAGTGTAGTAGGAAGAGTGCAGAATTTCCTTTGTACTAGGGATAGCAAAGCTTCAATCTTTTGGCTTATCAAGTCTATCCAACTTGGCTGTCTTAAACAATTCTTAGGAACTTCAGAGAAGAGATTCATTCTCTCCCTCATCTCCAGGTCTTGATAGAAGCCATTTACTGGATGTAAAGTGATAAATCACCAGGTCAGCAGAGGGCAATGGAGCCAGTATGCTCCTTGAAGGATTCATAGGACACTCTCCCATCTTTTTGTTGTCCTGGAAAAAAGGGGAGACTTAAAGGTCTTCCTGGTGTTGACATACAGATTTGGGATGGAAACCATCCAGGTGATTAAAGAGAGCCCTTTGCAAAGGTGAGTTCCTGATATCAACTGGCCTCTCAACATGTCCCAGTTGCTCAGTCCCATAGAAAATACATATAGTTTACATACAGGAACTAAGGGGCTCTGCAGACGGTCCTGAGGACGTCATTTTGTCTAGATTCACTCTCAGTCTGTTTTTCCTCATCCAGCCAGTATTAATTACCAATATATAACCAGTAAAAATAGAGCCAGTGTGGTGTAGTGGTTTGAGCATTGGACTATGACTCCAGAAACCAGAGTTTGAATCCCAGCTTGGCCATCTAAACCCACTGGGTGACCATGGGTAAGTCACACTCTCTCAATCTCAGAGGATGGCAATGATAAACCCTCCCTGAAGAAATTCTCCAAAGAATCCCCGTGATACGATCACCATACGTTGTATGGCATATAACAACAACATAACCAATAAAACACTTAGTTTTGTTAATAAAGAAAAATGTCATGCAATCTAGAATCTTTGAACATAAGTAGAAATAATGAAATAACAATATGAGATTGTTTAGATTTGAGGTAATAACTTTTAGAATAGCCCTTAGTGTTAATGGTGATTTGTCAGGCGCTAGCCTTATGTTATCAAACCCGGGATAACAAATGCAACACATCTGTTGGCCCATATTGAGATGTTGCTCAGTTTTTATATGGAAGATCAGTACTTACAGAAATCCTTCTGTATGATTCATACAGAATCATGAATTCAGTTTTAAGACATCTAATGCAACTGTGTTCCCTTCCATAACATAATTTATTAAATTTCATTACAAACCTGACTGCTTCTACAAAGAAACTTACTGCTGTTGATTGATTGTATTTTTAAAAAATCTAATTTAAAAAGTTAAAACCTTTAAATCATATGATTGATAGAGGTTTTTTAATCCATCCTGAATTAAATTCTTCACAAATTGGAGAAAGCCTGTACCATAATATGCAAGGCAACCTCTGCATTAAGAAATAGGCTATAGTACAGTTTCTAGTTAGGGAATGGCAAAAAACAGCAAAAAGTCAAAGTATAATTGAAGCCTCCCCAAGATCCCATGAAACCCTCCGTGAGACATTGAAGCTGACCTCTTGGACAGTAGAAGTTTTTTGTGGCAAGAGAGGTATCCTGTAGGTACCATATGAGTCAAGTAGCATGTTGATGAATCTTCTAGCATGTTGATGAATCTTCTAAAATGAAAGACCCAGATGTGGGGGTTAATATCTGTTCACCTTCAAAACATGAACTGAGCTGATAGAATCATTTGATAAGTCATATTGTATAGCTCCTCAGTGACTGCACCATAGGAACCTATTCGTTTATTAAATTTATAACCTGCTTTCTGCCAATATATGATATTTCAGGATATGGATGCATCAAACAATTTGAATGTGTGTATCAAAAAGCTCCCTAGGTATAGAAAACTGGAACACTGGAGAGAACCCAGTTCAGTCTTTCCCAATATGTAAAGATTTTCGATCAGCTCCTTGCTCTTGGTCTGTCCATCACTGCAGTGTTTCAAAGTTGTTTTGCGAAATGTCTGTGACCGAGGCTATTGCTTTTGAATTTATGGCAGTTCTGGTAGTTAGTATGTACTTGAACACTTAATTGTCTTGTGGCCACCACGATCTTACCATTGCCTGTTTTTGTAGGGCTAAAGAGAGTTGTAGTTTCATAATATCCGGAGGGTTGCCTGATTCCCAGCCCTGCAAATGAACTGAAGTAGATTTTATAGTCAGAACATAGCTGGCTATCTGAGAAATGTGGGAGAGGGAAGTATTGAGTGTTACCTAAACAGTTGGTGGTTTGTGAACATGAGTGTGTATTGTGTGCATGCTGTAAACCTGAGAATTAAGAGCTATCTGGCTGAGGATCAAGCTCACAAGGGAACTGGTGATGCAGAACTGGCTTCTGCTTTATTCACAAACATTTCTTCTTTCCTTTCCAGGGACAATTCTTAATAGTGGAGCAGCTGACTCTGGATTTTGAATATGTCATTAACGAGGTGATCCGGAATGATGCCTCGTGGTCCAAGCAATTCTGCTCCTTTAGTGATTATGACATTGTCATCTTGGAGGTAGGAATATGGTGTGTGTGTATGATCAGAGCGTCTGCCTCATTTGGAGACAAAGGGGACCATATCTATACTTGTCTTTGAGGACCTTGTGGTTTCCTGGCTGACTGTAAGGATAAAAATAACCATCTCCTGGCTTGAGAGCTGAGAGAGAATCTTACCATCTCTGTGCTTAATTTTTTGGTGTAAATTTTTTTATTGTTAGCAATTTTGGATTATTTATTTATTTCTAGACAAAGTACAGAGCATGTTAAATAAAATACTTAAAATGTTTTGGTTGGTATGCCTTGCTGCAGTTTTGTCACCAGGATCTCCAGCACTAACCTGAAAATTCACTCCATGCATCTGAGGAAGTAGACCAAGACTACAAAAGCTTATGCTATATCTTTTGCTCAGTTAGTCTCAAAGGTGCTACAACAAGATGCCTTTGCATACTGAAAGTTGAATTATTACTTTAACCAATACCGCTCCCTTCCATTGTGAAAAAATAGCAGAATAATAAGGGGGCATAGATTTAATATTCTGGTCACTTGTAGTTTTAATAATAATAATAATAAAATTTATTTATACCCCGCCCAATGGAGACCCAATCAGGGCAGCTTACAAGTTTAAAACATAATCCAAGTAAAACATATAATACAGAAAAAAAAACCCACCCCCCCTTAAAACAATATGAAATCAAACAAATTTAAAATCAACATGATTAAAAATTAGTTAAAATCCTTTTAGTGGGAAATAATTTCCTTGGTTATTGTTAATTGAGACTTGTACCTTTGTGGCATGCTTATGTATATGCATTTGGAAGATCTAGAATATCCCTGCAGGTTGGGGTCAAAACAGTTTTCTCATACAGAGGGCCATATAAATCGTATGTGGCTTAAATGTGCTGAGCTGATTTTTGAAATGGAACCTTTTGTACATTTTGAGACACACTTTCCTTCATTTCAGGTGATAGTGAATGTTTCTAGTCTTTTAAGTATCAGGACTTGAACATACATGATTGGGTTTCAGTAATTTTAATATAAAATAGGTAGGGGGCATGTTGCAACTGGCCTTAGCAAGGCTGGCAGGTGAGGATGGAAAGAGTCTCAAGTAATTGTTCCATTGTCACCTGTTTGAAATATTATGGAGAAGAACATCTCAAGGTATCTGATGTGTGAAACTGACAATTTGTTTGTTTATTTGTTTGTTTTTGGCCACTGCCAGATACCACTACCATGTTTCTCCCCATTTGCTACTGTTCTTTTTTCTTTCCTGGAAACACATCAGGGATTGGCAGCCACTGGCTTGTGGATTGGCACTGGTCAAAGAGAACCTCAAAGCAAGACAGATCCTTTCTCTTTTTCAGTTCTTGTGGTCATCCTCTTTGACACTTGGTTTTTATTTATATTTCCAAATTGTTTCTTAACACATAAGTTTTCAAAGCAGTTTGCCTGTAACAGAATGATTAAGAAATGTAAAACATTTACATTTATAAAGCCATATTATAAAGGAATGAATTTCAAATACTTGCCAGAGAAATAGTGTTTTCACTCATCTAAGTAGTAAGGGGAAGAGGGACATTTTTCCTTCCCTCTAGCAACCCACCCCTTGATTTTGAAATACATGGTGCTCCCTGCTGATGATCACCTCTCATTTTCTAAGAGGCATATTCAACATATTAGAATTGATACTGTTGCTCAGGTTCTAGTTTTGATAGAGGGACCAAGAGGGAATAAAGTATCCTGAAGATCTCCTCATTTCTCAGAAAACATCCTCCTAAGTTCTTCAGCCTGTTGAGCTTGATTCTTCCCTAGCCATGAGTGAGAGTGGAAGTTCTCATTGTAGAGGGAGAATTCAGCCCAAAATAACGTTTCTAGAGAGTGTAGCATTCCCAAACCAAGAAGTTAGCTGTTAGTCTTGCTATCTAAACAATGCTTTAAACTTCCTGTAGAAACAGCACATTAGAATAAACATCATTTGTTCAATACTCACTGTTCTGGCCAGTTAATTTTTTGCTTATAGAGTCCATCCACAAGTGAACTCTAAGCATCCGTCTTTCCCATCTCTCTAGGTGTGTCCAGAAACCAACCAGGTTATCATCAACATTGGGCTCTTGCTCCTGGCTTTCCCTTCCCCTGATGAAGAGGGACAGGTCAGGTGAGTTCGGTCCATCATCAGACCCACCTTGCGTTTGTTTATCCTCTCTATTGCTTGCCATATTTATTATGCTTCTTATGATATGCTTTTGGCACACAACATGAGAAGTTGTTGAGGCAGAAGGGAGCAGAATAACATGGACTCAGGGGGCAAATATTCCAAGAGGAATTAAAGGTCCAGGGATAAACAGTTCAGAGAAACATTGGGATCATATTGCCTTGAGCTCATTTGGAAGGACGGCTGAATAAATATATGTAATTTGCTACTTGGCTGAGCAGCTATTCATAGAAACCTCCATAATGAAAGAATAGCAAGATGACCTGGTGGCTGTGTAGGCCAATCTCCTAAGCCAAGATGGTCATAGTGAAGAAGGAATACAGAAATGTATGTTAGTCCAGAGGTTACAATATGTTTTCCTGAAGTGTGGGGAGAGGATCCTTACGACAGATCTTGCTCCCCTGCAACACCTCCAAGGAAGGGCTTAATAACCATCAATCAATTTGTGAAATTCTCCCTCCAGTTCTATACTTCCTTGCACAGATAAGGATGGGGCTGTCCTGCTGCAATGACCAGAGCCTTTGGAGGCCTGCTAGTGGCTGGGAGCTCCTTTTCTCCACTGCTTCTCTACCCCAAGGGGGACAGTTAGCAACAGGAAAATGGATTTAGCCCACAGTCTTGATTTATTGTTGGATGAGGAATGAGAATGCTTGGACAGTGGCATGGATACCTCTGTGGGGCACATCCAGTTGGTGGACTGACCTACCCTTATTGGGGGAATTGTAGGGTGCCCTTTTTCAAGCCTTGGAGGCCCATAGCTACACTTTACTGGGCAGAGTTGAGAATACAAGAGGTATAGCAAGCATAGCCTTGGCTGCGTGGGTAGATAATGTCAGTACCTCTGCTTCCTTCCCACCCTCCTTTATCAAGGGTCACGCTTTCCCTCCTCAGTTGTATCACTGGATTTCTTTGCTAAATTACTAATTGGTGGGGTGCTCAGGGGTTGGGGGTTAGAGGGGAAGTGGCAACAATCACAGAGACTACCCAACATGGTTGATCTTGATGGGTGCAAAAA